GCTGTCAGGACCGGACTCATCGACCGCGACAACTCCTTCAAGTTTCTCTGGGTCACCGACTTCCCAATGTTCACCCTCACGGAGGAGGGTGACGTCGGTGGGCAGGGCGGCGCGGCAGGCTTCTCCGCCACCCACCATCCGTTCACGGCGCCGCACTCAGAGGAGGATTTCGAGCTACTCTTCACTGATCCGATCATGGCCAAGGCAGATCACTACGACCTCGTGCTCAACGGCGTCGAGCTCGGCGGCGGCAGCAGACGTATCCACGTCGCCCAGATCCAAAAGTTCATCTTTGAAGAGATCCTGAAGATGGATAAGAAAAAGGTCAAGGAGTTTTCGCATCTGCTGAAAGCCCTCGGCTCTGGGTGTCCGCCGCACGCCGGCTTCGCCATCGGGTTCGACCGCTTCGTGGCTGTCATGAGCGGCGCGTCGTCTGTTAGGGATGTCATTGCGTTCCCCAAGAACAACAACGGCGTTGACGAGTTCGCGGGCGGCCCCAGCAAGATGACGAAGGAGCAGTTGGAAACTTACAAATTGCGCATTGTAAAAGAAATGCGTTGAAGCATAACTGGAATGGTAGAAATTGCGCCAGTTTCGGAGCATTAGTCGTAGTAACCTCTAAGTGGATTGTGGACGAAGGTTACAGGCTTATCTGGGCTTGGAAAATCTATGAACGAGACCGCATCGCCGGTTAGTGTGTATCACCAATTCTATGGCGTGGTGTGTTATGATTATTCAAAGCAGAGTACGATAAAGCGTTTATCGCACAATATGACAGTTACTTCACTCAACCACACGTCATCCAGAAGCTCAATAAATATAGGGTGAATCATTTCATTTGATGGACAACGCTCCTAATAATACATTCTCAGGAACCTTTCATCCAAGTCTCCGGCGTCACATTATCCTAGCCATTATTTACGATCTCTTCCACTGCCCCGCATCCTCCGCACCCTTTCCCACTGAGTTCAAAGCATTCTGCAGCCCGCCGCCGAGGTTGCCCAGCCCGTCGCCGATGGGCCGCCCGGCGCTGCCGCCCGCACTTGTGATGGTGTCCCCGACGCCCTTGGTCGCGGCGCCCGTGACATTGCCGACGGTGCGCGTGACGCCGCCAACGGTGTTGCCCAGCGCCGAGGTGACGAACTTGGCGGCGCCCGTGACGCCGTTGTTCTGGTCGTTGTTTCCGACGGGCATTCTGAGATGGTGGTGGTCTGTTGAGTTGTAGTGCGGCGTGTGATGGCTCTTCTTAGTCGATGATGAACCTATCCAGGAGGATGTGGACGAGGACGAATTCGAGTTGGATGTGAGTTTGTTGAGGATGGGAACGTTTGCGAGTTTGCTGTCGTTCTTGTTGTTCGTCATTTAGCTCGATGGCCCGTTGGGGGTCTTCTTATTAACTAGTGTAAGCGGGATGATGGGCACTGCTATGGGACCAGGGGAGGTATGCATGATGACGGAAGTGGCTTGGTAGGTGGATTTATATACTCGTCTGTACTGCGGCGTTTTGGTAATATCTGAGCTGATGGGCAGAATGCGATGGCAGGCCACAGAGAGAGAGAGAGAGAGAGAGAGCTCTTGCCCGCAGCGGTGACGTCACACGTCGAGATGGGAAGACCCCTGTCGTGCGCGCGCGTCCGGTCTGGAGGAGGTGTGGCTGATCGCACCTATCAAAGCCTCATCTGTAGGGTTTCCGAAAGAGGGGAAAGGGATCCCTGGGAGAGCGGGAGTTTCCTGACATCACTGCGCTGCGCGCATTGCAATGTTGTTTGAAACAGAGGCATTTTGGTCTGCTGGTTTTTTGGCTTTTGCATACTCTGTTCAATTTCGGGGCTGACGACATTGCGTGTGCTAGTCTGATGGAGAAGGTTGCCGAAGGCCCGTGGGATTTCGGTTTGCCTGGAGCTTCCTGGTGGGATGGGAGGAAGCTGATGTTTGGATGACGATGGGTAGGTGCTGAAGAAGGTGTTTGGGCGATGTTCAGGTCGACGCGTGAGGCTGTGTTGGACACCATCTCTGAAGAAACTGTGATGGGAGGGATCGGTTCTTGACGACAGAATCATGGTGAGGCTGGTAGGTATGTTTTGCAAAAGAGAACCACATCCACATTGTTGACTGCATAACTCCAGCGTGGGCAACAATGCCCGTGACGACGATGCCATGGAGGCCTGTCGAACCTTACCCCTTCCTCGGTTGTTCCGTCATAACGGAGGATGTCTTCTACTGACATCGCAGCACCAGCAACGCCCGAAATCTTAACGGCTTCCGAGTGCCTTGGAGCGGTGCTGAATGGGGCCCATCCCCCCTGCCTTCTGGCGGCGCCAGCACCGCGTGATCCCCGCATCGGGCCCGATCGGGTCCCATTTTTCGGATCCGGGACAAGGGTGGCTAGCCCGGTATCACGAAACTGACTGTCCTTATGGATCAATGTTGGATACTTTTGAAATCGTAGAATTGACTAGAATGTCAGAACAGAACAGAACATTCCCTCTGTCAGCGTTGCCCGTTGACGACCAAGCGGGAACGTCAACGGCAGCTAGTTAGCATTTTGACGCCGCCGCCACGGCCCGCTAGAGCCAACGCCTTCGGGACGATCTTTGGCATGTCGCGGCGCCTGTATTGTTGCGAGAAGTCGGCTTGCACCTCAGAAAACCTATTGATCATGAATATGATGTACAGAACTGCCTCTTTACCTTGTCTCGGCTCTTAAGTCCGCCTCTGTGCTGATCCAATCGCCGTTGCCTGAACCGGAGCGTAGGCGACAGTAAAGACATTAAATAAGACAAAACAATCATCTCTAACTGACTCAGGCTGTATGTCCCAGAAATTTCAAAACGGTAATTTGCTCGGCCCTGTTCAATGAAGCCTACCAGTCCGGGAATCACTCCATATTCTAATGGATAGATATATAAGACTGCACAACGCGCAAACGGGGTCCAAAGTCTTTTAACCTTTCTACCTCCACCCTACACTCATTTTTCAATCGGATCCGATTACATTCAGTCCTTACCACGAAATAACAATAATGCACTTCCAACTCATCGCCATCTCCGCTTTCCTAGCCACGGCCCTGGGCCTGCCTTTCCCGCCCGCCGGCGGCCTGATCAACATCTCACCGGCCACCAACTTCGACCTCTCCAACCCCGTCTCGTGTGTCGGCATCGCAAACTGCAACGGTGGCCCCGGGAAACCCTCGTCTGGGTCATCCGCGTCGCCCCTCGCTTAAGGGGCAATGGGCGGCAATAAGCTTGTTCATCGAAGCGGAACCTGGTTGGGGACAGCCAAGAGTGGTTCTGGCGAGAATATGGACCGCAAGACATGAACCTCTTTGAGAATCGACGGTTTTGGAAGAGATGTTATTGTTTCATTGCCGCTGCTGACGATGGCTTGGTGTTCTATGCGAGGAGGTGGTTGATTCTGTGGTGGCTTTGCCACTCGAGGAAACCAAGCGGAGGGTGTCGCTTTCTCAACACGAGGTTTTCATTTGTTGTTTCAAATTTCATTAGAAATTCGAATCGAATATCTGAATCGAATACGGTTCACAATGTTAATAAACCTGTTAACGAGAGATGAGAGAACATTCAGCCGGCCGTGTTGATACTTCTCGTCCTCGCGTCACCGCCGTCATTGACGTGTTGAAGCCGTCGAAAGCTATGGAGATACCTATGATATTCAAGTTCTTATATTCTCACCGCCATTACCGACAGCGAATGATGTGCTCTAGTACGATCCTCCATCGAGGCCCTCAGCTGCCATATACGAATCAGAGCGTGTGTAGTGAGCATGACAGGAGCCCCTGGCTTCATGGGTATTCGATTTCTGATCAATCCCAATCATCCAGCATCAGGAAGGGACCCATACTCAAGTCTTTGGCCGAACAAAAGGCAAATAAATGCCATCGAGACAGAGTCACGGAGGGTCAAGAAGCGGATGAACCGATGTATATGTGGAGTATGATGGCGAGACGGTGTCGTTCAGCGCTGCTTTCACCACGGCTACGAGTCTGCGGGTTTTCTGAGACAAGTGACCCTCCTTGTAGAAGACACAAGAAGATGACTTATTCAATTTGCTTCTCATTTGATTCGTAGCTTATGGGACATGTAGTCCTGATGCTGGTCATGCAAGTATTTGGGGATCAGATGTCGTTGAACAGAAGTCTGATGAATCGTGATACACTGAGGATCTTCGCGATCTTCAAATGACCTCGACCTGTCTCCCCATTATGCCGTGTTACAAGAAGGTGGCTGTCCTCCGCTGCCTCAGTGACTTTTGCCAAATGCTCACTCTCCTGTCACCTTCTCCCATGGTGTCGTCTATCCCGCCGGCTCTCGTAATACCATCATGCCTGCTATGTGGAGAAGTACATAACATACCGAGGCAGCACTGGCGGTGGAAGTTACTGACCTGCAATGGGATTGGGCATCGGCAAGATGATGCTGGCTAAGTGTCCTCGTATTCGAAAGGTTCTTGTATATTGACGATTCCCCCTCATCGCAGTTTCAGCGAAGATTCTCCAGAATTGACCAATGAGAACTTCACGGGTCAAAAGATGTAGTCAGGATAAGCAAGACCACTTACACATCTTCGGGGGTTTCTTCGGTGATCGACAAGCCCCATAGGACTGATCGGAGCCGCGCCGCAGGCCACTGCACGAACTCCGCAAGACTCCGCACGCAGCTGTACCCCAACACCCAACACGCTGCACATGCGCATGCCGTGATGGCCCGCATTCTTCTTAGCTCCCTTGCTTCAGCTGCTTGGAACAAAGCTCGCGGTAAATCAAAGCTTCCCCAGAGGCTGTAGCTCCAACCCCGGACGCTCCTCTCGCCTCAAACCATCAAACCACCTCCTCTCTAGTCTGTGCGGGGAAAGCTCTAGCTACACCGCAGTCAGGCCGCTCAATGCCACGCCGTTGATGTGATCTTTTCTCCTCGTAGGACAACTGACAGTTTCCCGTTGGTAATCACCACTCTCCTCTGCAGCTGCTACGACTCCACGACAACATGGCACTGAACGACTGGCTCGATTGCGGCGATTGGAAGGGTATAAGAGGGGAGGAGATGGCGGCCTTCTGTGCATCGTTGATATGGTGGATCGCGGCGCTCGTCGTTCTTTCGCAGTGCATCCGGATGATCAGCTCGCGACAGACGGGACCGATATTGAACGAGAAAGGCGCGACGATAGTGAAAGAGCAGAAGCGCAACATGTTCCTCCGCCCACCCATCATCCTCACGGCCGTGGCCGTTCTCGGGCTCTGCGCGGTCGTCAGGGTGGCAGACGTCGGACACCAGTTTGGACGCCAGCTTTCGTCGTACACGGCAACGACCACGACCAGCAGCAACGATGCCCAGTTTACAGTGGCCATGGACTCAGACGTCGGCGCTGATCTCATCCCCAACATTTTCGACCCAGAGGCGGTGGACCCCCAGAGTGTCTGCCCCGGTTACACGGCATCCAATGTCCAAGAAACTTCTCACGGATTCACAGCAGATCTCGACCTCGCCGGGAAGGCTTGCAATGTCTACGGCAACGAGATCGAGGCCCTGAAGCTCGTCGTTGAGTACCAGGCGGCAGACCGGCTTCATGTCGAGATACTGCCGAGACATATCGGCAAGGACAACTACACGTGGTTCATCCTTCCCGATGAGCTGATTCCGAAACCTGAAAATGATGGGACTCAGTCGGCTGGTTCGGACAGCGACCTGGAGTTCAAGTGGGCCAACGCGCCGACTTTTGGCTTCAATGTGACAAGGAAGAGCACTGGAGATGTCCTGTTTACCACCGTGGGGACCAAGCTGGTCTTCGAAGACCAGTTCTTTGAGTTTGCTTCACCTCTTCCGAAGAACTACAATCTTTATGGACTCGGTGAGGTCATCCACGGCTTTCGATTGAACAGAAATTTGACTAGTAAGATGGCTCATCCGAATCGTTGAACTTCTTTGGCTCACAGTGTTAGGGACTATCTATGCTGCTGACATTGGCGACCCCATCGATGGAAATATCTACGGATCACACCCTATCTACCTAGACACCCGATACTACAAAGCCGATGCTGATTCCGATGAGCTCGTCTACGTTGCCGAGCCCACGGACAAGACTGCTAATTACAAATCGTTTACTCATGGCGTCTTTATGAGAAATGCTCATGGTCAGGAAATCCTGCTTCGAGAGTCTAACATTACCTGGAGAGCGCTTGGTGGAACAATTGACCTCTACTTCTACGCTGGTCCCACGGCAGACTCTGTCATTACCTCTTACCAAAAGAGCGCCGTTGGACTGCCTGCTATGCAGCAATACTGGACCCTGGGCTTTCATCAATGCAGATGGGGCTACACCAGTTGGGACAACCTTCAGGAGGTTATCGACGACTTTGTAAAGTTTGAGATTCCACTTGAAACGATCTGGGGTGAGTGTTGTGTCGCCATAGTGCAACAGGGCCGTGAGCTAACCTACCATCAGCCGATATCGACTACATGAACCAGTACCGCGACTTCGAAAACGACAAGAATAATTGGACCTACGAAGACGGCGAGAAGTTTCTCGACAAACTCCACAAGAACGGACAACACTTCGTGCCGATTGTCGACTCAGCAATTTACTCGCCAAACCCCGAGAAGGAAGATGACGCCTACCCAACCTATGACCGCGGCCTTTCCTCAGACGCCTTTGTCCTCAATCCAGACGGCTCACTCTATGTCGGAGCTGTGTGGCCTGGCTACACGGTCTTCCCTGACTGGGTTGGTGCCGTGCTCGGTAAGAGCAAGACGTTTGCTTGGTGGAAGACAGAGCTTGAGACCTGGTTTAAGAAGGTTGCCTTCGACGGCATCTGGATTGACATGTCCGAAGTAGCTTCGTTCTGCGTGGGCAGCTGCGGAAGCAAGAACCTCACCCAGAACCCTGCCCATGTCCCTTTCCAGCTTCCAGGAGAACCCGGCAACGAAGACTACTCCTACCCCGAAGGCTTCGAGAAGACCAACGCCACCGAAGCCGCGTCCATCTCTGCGCTCTCAGCTTCAGCCGAGGCTGCCAAATCCACCGCCGTCAACGACGCGGAGCCAACCTCCACGACGACCTCTTACCTTCGCACCACTCCCACCCCCGGCGTCCGCAACGTCAACCACCCACCGTACGTGATCGACCACATCCACGGAGACCTCGCCGTGCACGCCGTCTCCCCCAACGCAACGCACCACGGCGGCTCCGAAGAGTACGACTTCCACAACCTCTTCGGCCACCAGATCCTCAACGCCACCTACCACGCCCTGCTCTCCGTCTTCCCTGGCAAGCGGCCCTTCATCATCGGCCGCTCGACCTTTGCCGGGTCGGGCAAGTGGGCCGGGCACTGGGGCGGCGACAACTACTCGCTCTGGGCGTACATGTTCTTCTCGATCCCGCAGGCGCTGAGCTTCAGCATCTTCGGCTTCCCCATGTTCGGCGTCGACACGTGCGGCTTCGCGGGCAACGCCGACATGGAGCTGTGCGCGCGCTGGATGCAGCTGAGCGCCTTCCTCCCGTTCTACAGGAACCACAACGCCATCGCGGGCATCCCGCAGGAGCCGTACCGCTGGAGCACCGTGGCGGACGCGTCCAAGAAGGCCATGGCCATCCGCTACGCGCTGCTGCCGTACATGTATACTGCCTTTTACAGGGCGCATACCCTCGGTGATACGGTGATGAAGGCGCTTGTGTGGGAGTTTGCGGACGAGCCGTGGCTGGCGGATGCGGATAGACAGTTTCTTCTGGGGCCGGCTGTGCTTGTTACGCCCTGTCTTGTGCAGGGGGCGACCACGGTTGATGGCGTCTTCCCCGGTGTTGGCAAGGGCACCGTCTGGTATGACTGGTACAACCAATCCGCCATCACTGGAGTTACTTCTGGGCAAAACGTCACCATCGACGCGCCGCTTGGACATATTCCTGTGTACCTCCGCGGCGGGTACGTTATTCCGACTCAAGAGCCTGGCAAGACGACGACAGAGAGCAGGGCCAACCCGTGGGGGATCTTAGTTGCGCTTGACAGCGAGGGCGGCGCGCAGGGTAATCTTTACGTGGACGATGGCGAGAGCTTGGAGCAGGAGGCTACTCTGACTGTAGAGGTATGTTCTTGAGCTCGCTTTGGTGTAAACGGAAGCTAACAGACGTATAGCTCACCGCCTTGGACGGTGTTCTTAAGGCCAGTCCCTCCGGAGAGTACAAGGACGCCAACCCTCTCGGCAATGTCACAGTCATGGGAGTCAAGCGGGACGTTTCGGCCGTGACTCTGAATGATCAGGTTCTTGAGAGTGAGAATTGGTCGTTGGACACGGCTTCTCGTGCTCTAAAGATTCATGGATTGCAGTCTTTGACTTCGAAGGGGGCATGGAATTCCGAGTGGACATTGGCCTGGGCTTGATAGAACGTTGGAGCATCATGGGCTTTGGTCGCAACGCCGTGACAGCATCATAGATTCAGACAATCCATTAGATCTTTTCAAGGCTCAATTTAGTGCACATTTTATTGCTTTCAGGGGCCGAATACGCCCCAGAAGTCTGATCTAATCTTAGACTGGCTCGACCTTCATACTCGACGAACCAATCGGTTTCATTCCCGCCTCCAATTTAATCGAGGGACAGTTTTGGAAGCAAGATATCTATGTAAGCGATGTGGCCGGCAAAGAGCCACCCCGTCAAAGGAGTTCGAGCTGCAACGTAGACGTAGAACGGTGAGAGATATACAGAAGAGTGGCCGTTGAGTGATTCTGAGTTGCGGTATGACGACAAACATGCCGTCTCTTACACGATACACGGCATGGGTGACGAACATGCTTCATGGTCAATAGCTATGAGGTTAGCCAAATGAGGCAATTCGTTTTACGTTCGGGACCAATCGCCCAACATCTGCCCCAACCCCGTGTATATGAAAGCCGCTGAGGTTTACACCGCGTTATTTAACCTGTTCCCATCTTAACACACAAGGCGCAGGCATTCCGCTGGCTGAGCTGAAAGCGTTGGGGTGCCGTGTCTACGCATCAAGCGAATTCCAACCTGTAACTCTTCTGTCACCCTCGCGGAGCTAGTTCTGCGGAAGGTTGAAGGATCCTTTACTTGTCGCACGGCTCTTCGCTCCTGTCGCGTACTACGTCAGGTAACAGCCAGTAGGCACTGTCCGGATCAGAGCTCAATCAGTGCTTCATGTCGGCCAGGTTGTGGCTGAGTCTAACATATATGTAATCGGCTTTGCTGTTTCCTTCTTCTGGTTGGCGAAGCACGAAATCCAAAAACTTGTTCAAAACGCTCGAGGATTCGTAGTAGACAACACCAGATTGGGTTCTGAGCGTTGACATCAATTGCGGCGTAGAACCGCTTGTATGTCCCTTGTGAAAACAGCAGTATCTTCGAACCTGGAGCCAAGAAGCGTCCTTGCTTTTCCCTGACCACCCTTTTTCCACATCTCGGCCCCATTCGAGAACATGATGTCGTACGTTGCCCAGAGGGGAAGACTCTCAGCACCTAAGCTGTCGCTGCTGGGCGTTGCAGAAGCCTTTGCGATGTTCGAGATTGGCCTCGGGAGAAATGAAGTTTTGAAGACACTCTTGTCGTTTCGAGTAACGCAGGACACTCCTCATCACTATTGATCAGGCGGATCTAGCGGCGGTCTGACTGAGAGCCAGACAACGCCCAAGACCGATCAGCTAGCTGAACTCGAAACAATCGGACAGCACCAACAGCGTAAGCGTAAAAGGGGGCTTTTTTTTTTCGGTGAACCTGCCATGCATTAATGCAGGGTATTGCATGCGCCCATTTACAAATCTGGGGTTCGTCGCATGTTCTCCTGCGGCGACGCAGCAACCCCACCCAGGGTCCACACAACTTAGGTAGACTTTTGGAAGTTAACTATCATCAGCTGGGTATGTGGCGCAATGGCTAGCGTGCGGTCTTCCGGTATTCATTACCAAGTTGGCCGTGGTTGCAGGTTCGAGTCCTGTCATACTCGTTTTCTTTTGCCTTTTGCGTTCATTTAGGATTGGAATGAACATTAATAGTAGAGGATCTATTTGACGCGCTTGCAGAGGTTGAGATAAGTCAGGTTGTTGGGAGACATTTAAATACATGTTGCAACAAGATATTTCATGCACAGTTGCGCCGCCCATTGCGCTCTTCAGAACACGCGGTGTAGTCTGTTTAAAACTATTGCAATTGCAACCCTTTATTTCCAGGCCCATCACTTTTGTCGAAGAACCCCATGATTCATAAACTTTTGGTATCATTGAGCCAAGCGCAGTCGCAAACCGTACCACGCAAGAAAGCCGTAAAAATGCTCTATAGTACACACCCTCTCCCACACCCTTCTCTTCTCGTCAACTCCAGTACCGCTCCTCTCAGTGTCCACCACGTCCTCGGAACCTCCTGTTCCCGCGATCGCGCCACTTGCCTCCTCCACGGCCGTGCCTCCGGTCCCCGTGGCCGCGGTCCTCGTGCATGTCCCGCATGCGCTGCTCCCTCTGCACCGGCACCGCCTCGCCGTCCTCGCGCTCGCCGTCCTTCTTCTCGTCCTCGCCCTCGACCTTGACGCTCGGCTTCTCCAGGTCCGTCCTCCAGCGCGGGTGGGCGCCGAACTTGCACCCGGGGCCCTCGGGGCAGAAGCCGACGAGGTAGTAGACGCACAGCTTCCGGCGGACGTGTTTCTTGCTGCAGCGCGGGCCCAGCGGGCAGAAGCCCTTGTCGTAGTGCGGGCACGGCGGCAGCTTCGACTGCGGGTCGATGTGCAGGTACAGGCACTCCTCACCGTTGGAGCAGTAGCCGTTGCGCATGAAGAAGTTGCACTCGGGCATCTTGCGCAGGTTGTACTCGTGCAGAAACTCGCAGCTCTCGCCCTTCTTGCAGAGGCCGCGCAGCCAGTGCTTGCAGACCAGCGAGGGCCCGCCGCCGCCGCCGCCGGAGTTATTGTTGGAGGAGGATGGCGAGGAGGCGTGGCGGTCTGGGCAGGAGGCGCCGAGGGGGCAATGGCCCGCGAGGAAGGGCTTGCATTGCGGGCGGTCGGAGGAGAGCTCGTGGCGGTAGGTCTGGCGGAGGAAGGGGGTGAAGGAGAAGGTCGTCGCTTGCGGGGCGTGGGTGAGGATCTGGGTTGCCTCCGGGCGGGCTACGACTGCCATTTTTGGGGAAGGTGGAGGAGCTCCAGAGAGCTGTCGGGTGAAGCGGGTGAGGATGTCGCTGGTTTTTTGATATGGGAGATGCGATCGGTTTGGTTTGTTGATGTCGCGTGGTGGTTTTGTAAGGCTGTTGCGCGAAGTTCGCGGTCGCGGTGATCGGATGCGCGAATAGCTTCGGGATGCGCAATGATACAAGTGCACGATTTCAAACGGCCTCGCCCTGTTTGCCTGCGGTTTTGAGTTGTTTGGAATAGTTATGGAAGGGTGAAGCTCGCGATGCGCAGGCGTGGATTACCTTAGCTCTGAGATCTGCCGACTGCCCCGTCTCGTTAGTCAGCAACCGCTGCTTGAGCTGCTGTGGGGCGCATTCTTAGCTCCAGTGATAAGTAAAGTGCTTCACAGTTGAGAGGACGCTACGTTTTCACTGCGCAGGGGCAAGTGGACGCAGAGAAACCAGCGTAATTACTTCACATAGCCTCATATATCAAATTATTATTTCTCTGGGCATCGATCAAGATTTTACGACGCCACAGTCGAAGCTCCGAACAACCAATAGGCTTCTCGGTGGAATACGGAAGCATTACATCGAACACTTTCAGAACCTCGTACAACATGTGTTGCGCAACATGCCCGTAGCTTGGTCAAACTTACGCCTCCAGTATCACCAACAATTGAGTGATGATGCCAGCGCAACCCACCACATCGGAAGGGAAGCTACAGCACGTGGGTTTTCCGAGAGGCCCGCAGCCAATTCATCAGACTTTCTGAGCATACCAGAAGAACATGTTATAGTAGCGATGCTTGCTATCGTCCTCCAAATCTTCCCAGACGGTTTTGCACCAGGCATCGGACTGCGACTTTGAGATGCCCATAGCCTCGAACGGTTTGCCTGTGAAGGCCGTTGCCGCCCACTTGACAGCAAGTTTTGAGTAGTAGCCAATCAATCGCTGGGTGTTGTCCTTTGGCCAGGTGCCAATCGGGATTTTCATGATTTGGCACTGGACGTTTCTGAAGCCAGCGGCCTCGAGGTGAGGACCCAAGTCGCGTGCTTTGTGGAAGTCCAGACCAAGACTCTGAAAGGCTTGGACGACGAGCTCGTAAAACGTCTTGAGCTTGTCGTCACTCGTCATAGTGCCGTCGTCGGAATGGATCTGCCCATGCAGCTCTTGGAACTCAATCCAACCCCCGGACCTCATGTTTCTGAGTGCATCAGTAATAGTTTCTCCAGCGCCGCGTCTGGATCAGGCTTACTCGTGAGCGTCTACCAGGACTTTGTCTAGCTTCCGAAGAATTGGAGCCATGGATCGGAAATGCACAAAGTCGAAACCTCTCCCGTTCACCCAGTCATCCTCGGCGTCGTCGACAAAAAACTTGACATTGCCGGGTGTCCACTCCGGCTGTATGGGAGACAGGTCGATGCCTACGACAGACGCGCCAGGATAACGATCGGCAACTTTGAATATCTTGATCAATATTGGCTCACGCGTGGGAAACCGTCAACATACTGCCAATTGCCCAAGCACCTAATTTCGAACTGTTAGAGAGAGAACGAAAGGGTCGGTACTACCAAGGGATCACTGTACCGGTGCCCGTGCCAATGTCTATGATTTTCTGAGGATTACGACCGAGAGGTGCGAGAAATAGTCTGCCATTCTGGTTACAAATCAGACTTGGACGGAAGCGTCACTACATAGCGTCACGAGGCGTGTGAGCGAACTCACGAGAAGCTCCAGCATCAAAACATGCTTGATATTCTCCCGACCCTGCTCCGTCTGGTCGTTGGGCATTGGATAGCGGCCATGGCGATACCTATGGTACCGGCGCCCGTTCTCGTCGTACTCATGGGCAAAGATGCTGGCAGTGATGGAGCGCGAGCCGACAGAGGAAGCGTCCCACTCAACGGGGTCAAACTCACTGGTGTCGACGGGCTCGTCGGCAGCTTCGATGGTACCAGCGGGGTGAAGAGGAGCTTGTGCGTCAGACATGCTTGCAGGTGCCACCTAGGTCGGTAGGTAGGTACGCAGGCGATTTGTTCTCGAAGGTGGATGGTGGTGGTGCCAAAGCGAGGGCATCCTAGTTCTACGCAAGGTGAGTTTACTGTAGCGCGGAAACCCACTTGGAGCCAATGAGGGTATACTGGACCATGGCTGTCGGGTCTTTCACCAAGATCGGCGCTGCACTAGGTGGAACTTTCCCACGATGACTTTACTTTCTGTTGCGAATGGGGCGGGCTGGTGCAAAAGCATGCAATAGCCTCTCGCGGTGAGAATGAGGGATTGCGAGAGAAGAGAGGAGAGAGTGCTGGAGGACGGGGGTC